GTCTACTTGGGTTTGGGTATAATTACCCATGGTTGGGTAATTTGCCATACCTAACTGGGCGTGGTCGACAACACAGCCGGCGAGGCCGGCGATCCAAGCGAGCGCCCGGAGCCAGCTCTCCACCCTGTTGTGTACGAACTCCTCCTTGTGCCGATCGAAGGCGTCCTTCAAGATGCAGCCGCCCAGCAAGTCACACGGCGCCACGTGGTAGAACACTGGGACGGGCCTCCGCGCCGCCGAGCAGGAGCAGGCTTTGATTTTGACGAGGTCGTCGAGGCAGATAGGGGATGTAGCGTAGAGTTTCGTCATCACGACGACGTGGAAGCTCGACTCCTCGATCGCCCGCGAGATCGCTTCCTCCACGTTGACCCCGACCGGAAGCTCCCACACGGTCAACGCTTCGCGGCGGAGGGCGGCGCATAGGTGGTCGATGAACGTGTTCTGCACGTCGGAGCCCCTGAAGTTCACGAACACGTCGCCGTGCGCCCGCCGCCCGCCGCCGAACGGTGGATTTGTCCCTCCTGGAACTGACGACATAATCGGTATCGTTCTGATGCTTTTTGTTAGGTTCAGTGATTTCGGCCTCAGGTCGAATAGCGGTATTTATACTAGCTAACGTACAAATCCACTTTACAAAAGATAAGAAGATAGCGGTATTTATGAGCACTTCTACTATGCTATATAGTTTTGGTGCTTTAATGTACAACTTAAAGTTGTATCATAACATTAAATGTATAAGTTTAGGTTGTACCATAAAGTAATTTGTACCATTATGTTATGGTACAACTTTACAACTTGAAGTTGTACCATCACATAAAGGTACACGTTCAAATTGTACCATAAAAGAATTTGTACAAAAAGTATAGGTACAATCTGAAGTTGTACCATAACGTAAATGTACAATTTTAAATTGTACCATAAAGACAAAATCTTATAGTATCAATACTATATAGCATTGTAAAATTTCTCAGTATTTATATCTATCTAATTTTCAAAATTTTACTTCGGTGACTGAGAGTGACAACTGACACGAGCTTGTTGTACGTCGCTTTCCCGTTCAGAAGATAAGAAGCTGCAAAGGATTATCTCACAAAATGAAACAAGTTTTAAAAAAAAAATTTACAATCTACATATAATATAATACACCGAAGGGAAAAACGGGAGCCCCATTTCAAATTTCCTGCAACGAGAGTGAAAGTAGGAAGGACATTTTGGTCTTCACAATTACTTTTTTTTATTCATTAAAAGGTATGTATTGGGATTCGAACCATGACCATTTTAAAGAAAGGCAAGGATCATAACCAATCACACTAAGTACATTTGTTGTATCCTTTTAAATTAAAAACATATAATAGCATGGTGGAAAAAACTCTTCCCCCATTTCAAATTCCCTGTTCCATGAGCGTTTGTAGGAAGGGTAAAATAGGAAGTGTCAATTTTTTCTCTTTCCTCTATGGAACGGGCCAACTTACCGTACACATGCGGATTTAAACGAGTCAAGGAGTGTCAATTTTTTTCTTCATACCCTTTTATTTATCCGTGGTGATAAAATATATATGAAAAGGCAAAAATAATACTCCTTTTTATTGTTAAAAATAAAAAATTTAACAATAGACTAATGCATGGTATCTAATGGGCTAACCGCTAACCATAAAATAAAAGAGTTGAATGGGCCTGACCTACATGGGATTTGGTCATCAAGTAAAACAAATGAACATCATGGGTTTGCCATTCTAAAACAAGCTATTTTCTCTAGCATAATATATATTATGCTATTATTTTATATCTTAGTGGCTAAAATATAATGTATTTTAAAGTTATTCAATGGTTCAACCTCGACCAACCCAATTAGTCCAATTTTTATCATTTCAAATATATATTTTATAATTATTTGACATCATAATGATCAAATTATAGTGTATTTTATAGGAAATCGTTTGGTATTTGTTAGTAAAAAACTAAACATAAAAATCTATTTGGTTATTTTAAACATTAAAACGATCCTCAACATTTTCAGTTCCTTTTGAATTTATATGGTTTTATTCCCGAATAAGTGATGTGCAAATGGCGAATTGTAGTCGTCTTTTTTCTTTCACTATTTTTTTATTTTCAAATAGAAAGTTTAAAAGTAAAGAATAATTAGAATTTGGCATGGGTCGGTCAAACAGGTTGAATTTCAAGTTTTGGCCCATTTGTTTTATGCATTGCAAATTTATTAGCATGTTGATGGAAATGGCTTGGAAAAAAGACATATAAGTTGTATCTTTGCAGAAATGTCCTCAAATGTTTGAATGCTTTGTGAATCAGGTTCTGTGACTTTTGTGATGGTGTATGTGCTTGACGATTGCTCGATGTTGTAACTACTTAATTTAAGAGTAAATCTTTTGACTTTCCCTATGAGTTGTGATACCAATTCTGGTGGTTGCAGCATGTTGTCGTTGTTGGCCTGTAAAAGTTGTTCCGCCGTGATGCTAAATACCTTTCTTTCTTTTTTAACAAATTGTGTAGTAGTGCTATGAAACAGACCACCCATGAACGCTACGCTTATTATGATCTGTTCTTACTTCCGGTGGTGAGAAATTGTGAATTGAGAATCATATTCGCCTACCGCACTGTGTCTGGTTGGTGGCTGCTTACTGTGCTCTCTAGAGTTATGAAACAGACTACCCATGAACTTTACCCTTAAGAGTCCACAACTTTGCGAAAAACCAAATATAGGCAATCAAAGGTGGTGGATGTGTGATGATTTTTTATGGCTTAATTGTTTGTGAATTAGATATATGATCTTTGTATGATTAGAGGGGATGTTTGCTTAATAGAATAATCCATTTTAATTCATGTTTATTTTTAACATGAACTTTAGTAACTCAAAACCTTTGAGACACATATCACCTACTGCATTGTATCATTTTGCCTGGGTGCTCGCTGTGTTGTCAAACTTCTTTGCTGCTGATGCATTTACACTAACAGGGGAGTTAAGAACCCATGAATGTATCCGTTTGACACAAACAAGAGGACTTACTTCTAAATCATGCACTAAAGATGATTGGAGGAAACATCTCTGTTGCAGTTGATACACTGGAGACCATAACAAAAGCAACGTATAACATCAAAACCAACCATCTGAACTATTAGCATTGTTGCTTTACTCTTTTTTCGTGGTTGAGTCTCCTTCAAAAAATTTAGTTTGATTTTAGAAAATTTTGCTTCTGCAATCCTGTCTTGCCACCAACGCGTTCAGTAGATGGAGATGGCAGAGGCGAAGGCTATTTTGTGTTGTTGTTGCTGGTTTAGGGATCGGTTTGTGAAGAAGAGGGAGAAGAGAGGGGGAAAGGGAAATGCATGAGAGGGGGATAACTCTTTTCTCCGACAAAAATGGAGTGAAGAAAGGAATTATGATCAGTAAGGATATGGTTATCTTACATAACTGTGTCTATTCTGTTTGAATTGAGCTTGGGAGGTAGTGATAAGGACGAGCTGCAACCAATTCATAGTGATAAGAGTGCTATGAACTGTGATCATGTCTTATTTCAAGTTAGAAGGTAGTTTCAGTATAAGGATTATTTAATTTGACAAGTTGTTTCGTCCATGATTCTTGGTAGTTTCAGTGCCATTCTAGCCATTGTTTAGTCTGTAATTTTTGAGAATTGATGTGCGAGTAATGACTTTCACTTAGCTTCAACTATTATGTGTGTATTTATTGGCATGTGATAGAATTCTCTTTTCCTTTTCTTTGAATTCAGTTTCATACTCTAATTGTATCATTTGTACATAGGCAAATCATGCTCGAGATGACAACTCGCTGATATGGCTGGTGCAAGGAATGAAGCCATCATTAAAATTCAGACCGACAACGGGGAGGGATGCCCAGGACTAATTCAATGATGATTGATGATGGTATGATAAAAACTGCAGTCTGCATCAGCACCAATTTCTAGGCCTAGGTAAAGTTATTCAACCCAGAACTCTGCTTAGCGCTAAAAATTGCCCTCACCCAACCTTTATCCTGTTTGACCCACTTCTGAAGAGTCAAGATATATTACTAATTCTCTCCGTTCGTATTTTCTTATTGACTCTTTCTGACCCTTTAGGTTGGGGCGGGTCGGGAAGAATCGGATTAGTGGGCCGGTCCTAATCAAGTGGAATCTCAATCCCTTCACTCTCACTTGCTTTCTCTCCCGTTCCACAAGTGGGTAACATACAGTAATCCGGCCAACGGGCCAGGTAATAAACTAGTACATTTACTACAATTCAACTCCTCTAGAACTATCATCAAATAGACTCCTACGAGTCCTTTTTTTAATAGAATAATAATTTCATAAATGATTTTAAAACTACATATGGTGAGTTGGTGACAAGAGTTGAGTTACAAACCGACTTAATGGTAGGAAAGCAACCTGAAACTAGCAGATGATCAACTGGTGGGCTTTGTAGAAGAGAAAAAGGAGAACATCGAGCATAGCCAGGCCCAAACAATGTGGCAACACCAAGCCCACAAAAACATGTGTATATATCAAGTCATCATTCTTCTAGCAGAGAATATGATATTTTTGTAACGATAAAATAGTATACGATTTACAGGAATATATATTCGTCCGACAAGAAAATTGTATTTTTATATTAGATAGTAGTATGAAATCAAGCCTTCAAGAATATGATATTTATGTTATGTGAATATGATATTTTTGAAGGCTTGATGATATTTATGTTATGAGAATATGATATTTTTAAAGACTTGATTTCATACTACTATCTATTATAAAAATACATTTTTCTTGTCGGACGAATATGTATTTCTATAAATCGTATACTATATTTTCATTGCACAAATATCATATTCTCTACTGGGAGGACGTCCTCCCAACAATAGGTAGGTGGGAGGATGATAGACCGTTAATTACACATGTTTTTACCCCTGTTCTTACACCGTTTGAGATGTGATTTCTCGCGTTTTAGGCCGATTTCACGCTAGGTTGTGCTTGTTTGTGATATTTCAGGTCCTAGTACGTGAATGGAGACTCGGGAGCGAGTTTGGGGTCGATTGGACGAAGATCGGGCGCGAGGCAAGTCACAAAGGAGGCCACACGGGCACACCCACAAATCACACGGCCGTGCAACTCATATTTCTGGCCGTGCGAGTTTTGCCGAGAGCAAACACGGCCTGCCCTGACAATGCACACGGCCGTGTGACGAAGTGATCTGGCCGTGTGACTTTTGCCGTGAGCAGACACGGGCAGATGGAAATCAAACACGGCCGTGCCAACCTGGCCGTGTGAGAAGCCTGAAAATCGAACTAAGTGGAACGCAGCGTTTTAACTCACACGGGCAACTGGGTATGCCACACGGCCGTGTGGCCCTGCCCGTGTGAGTCGGGATTTCCTGGTTTTAACCCAATTCTGGGCTGCAAGAGAGAGGATCGGACTTTTTGAGCAAAAACAGAGCCCTGGAGAGAGAAAGTGCGAAGAACTCACCCTAGAAGCCATCTTGGAGCTGGGTTTCATCAAATCAAGCTTGGAGATCGTCCTAGGAGTGGAAATCATCATCCCGGAGCAGATTTTCCTCATCTTTATGAGTATGACTACTCCGATTACTGTTTTCCTCTCTCTCTCTATGGAGTAGAACCTCTCTCTCACTTGGGGATGAAGAACCCTAGTTCTATGTGTTAGGGGATTGATTGTAATGACTTGGGATGATATTACTGTTTGATTTTAATCGAATGATGCATGTTTATTGAGTCAATTGAAGTCTGATCAACTTTTCCTGATTCCTGCTGCAATCTGAGATAGATAGAATCTGATTAGGTTGCTAGAGTCTCATCATTCGATAGTAGGAGATTGCTATACGAGAGTTAGCCAGTTTACTGCTTTGTACTGGAATCTAATTCCAGTAGTGAATTTCTGTTCTTACTGCTTCAGCTTTCTATCCCGGTGAAGACTAGTCGTCTGCCGGATAGTTAGACGTGAGAATTTGTTACTCTAGCTTTTTATTTACTGCATTTTATCTCTTCCACCTGTGTACCTTCACGGGTTGCTTCTGCTGATTGTGTGCAGGTAGTGCATGACCCGTAGCCAGTCGGGAGATCTACTACCACTAGACCAGGAGCTTGAACGAACCTGCAGAAACTTCAAGCGGGCTCTAAAGGCGCGACTGGCTGCGGAGGAGGCGCTAGCACAGCTACAGATCACTGAAGAAGAGGAGATGGCTAATCCACAGGACCATGCTGTGGTCGATCCCGAGGAGCAGACCATGGGACATTACTGGACCGCTAGGGCTGTAGACTTGAGGTCACCCATTCAACACCCTCAAGTCCCAGCCAATAATTTCGAGGTGAGCACCTCAGTAATCACCATGCTGCGCGGTTCGGTGATGTTCCGTGGCAAGGAGGGGGAGTGCCCCCGATCACATCTCCGGCGATTCCACGAGCTCATTGATGGAATCAAGATCAATGGGGTACCCGCAGATGCCATCCAGCTGAGGTACTTCCCATTCACTCTGGAGGGGCAAGCCAAGGAGTGGCTAGACACTCGACCTCCAGGCTCCATCACTACGTTCGCCAACCTGGCGGACAAGTTCCTCACCCGCTATCATCCTCCATCCAAGACAGCTGACTTGCAGAAGCAGATCACCCACTTCACCCAGGACGAAGATGAGACCATCCGGGATGCTTGGGAGAGATATAACAGTCTCTTCCTTAGGTGTCCCAATCATGGTTTCAACGATGCTTTCAAGGTGGGAACCTTCTATCATGCCCTCTTCCCGGAGGACAAGCAGCTGATTGATTCGGTCTGTGGCGGGAACATGCTGACCAAAACACCGCCACAGCTGAATCAACTCTTTGAGGAGATGGCGGAGAACGGGTACGATTGGGGCACTGCCAGGAGATCGAGGAGAGCACCAGGCCGGGGTGTGCATGCTGTGGGCACCCAGTCATCTGATTTGGTGCAGGCGGTATCGAAGCTGGTTCAGCTATCGATCGTTCTGGTTTGATTGCAGGTACCGGACAGCAGCAGGCTATGCTCTGCCAGTGGTGCGAGAGCACCCATCATACAGTGGAAGACTGCCAAGCGATGAAGGAATCAACCACGCCCCAGGAGCAGGTGAACTTCATCAACAATGTCAGGCGCAATGACCCCTACAGTAACACCTACAATGAGGGGTGGCGCCAGCATCCCAACTTCTCCTGGGGTGGGGCAAATTCCAGACCACCAGTCCCCCCAGGGACCACCGGGCTTCCAGAGGCCACCATATCAGCCCAGACAGGGGCAATTCCAGCAGCAGCAGTCTCTCTACCAGCCCATGCAGGGGCATGCTGCTCCATCACAGCCGCGACCTTTCCAGCAGCCAGGTGCAGCCCTTGCCGCCCTAGTGCAGAATGATCAGATGGCTGAACTGCGGGAATTGGTGGGTTCTCTCGCCAGTTCTAGTGCTCAAAAATTTAACACCATCGAGCAGTTCATGGAAAAGGCATCGGGTAAATTCCTGGCTCTTGAAGCTGGCCAGAGGAACACACAGGCTGTCTTGCAGGATATCCAGACCCAGTTGGGGAGTGTGGCTCAAGTAGTGGCACAAAGGGCTCCTGGTACCTTGCCCGGTCAGACCATTCCTCACCCCCAGAACCCGAATGAGCACTGCAATGCCATCATGACCAGGAGTGGCAAGATGACTGTTGATCCACCTGCTCGGGAACAAGAGAGAGAGGCCCCTGCCTCGGCATCTCCAGCAGCTGAAGCAGAAGCAGAGAAGGAGGTTGAGGTGCCTGCACCTAAACTGCAACCAGTAGTGAAGGAGTATATCCCTAAACTCCCCTTTCCTACTCGGTTGCACAAAGACAGGCTGGAGGCAGAGTTCGAGAACTTCATGGCCATGCTTAGGAAGCTGAATGTCCAAGTGCCTTTCCTGGAGGCACTATCTCAAATGCCTAAGTATGCGAAGTTCCTGAAGGAACTTCTCTCAAAGAAGCAGAAGCTGAGCGAGCTGGCCACTGTGGAGCTCAGCGAGGAGTGCTCGGCCATTCTGCAGAACAAGCTTCCGCAGAAACAGAAGGACCCAGGTAGTTTTACTATCCCGTGCTCTATTGAGAATTTACATGTAGAGAGGTCCTTGGCGGATTTAGGTGCTAGTATAAATGTTATGCCATATAAATTGTTTAAGAAACTAGGCCTAGGTGAACCCCGTGCTACTAGGATGAGCCTTCAATTAGCAGACCGATCTGTAGTGCATCCTCGGGGCATAGTGGAAGACCTTCTGGTTAAGGTTGGCAAATTCAATTATCCTGTTGATTTTGTGATTTTGGACATAAATGAGGATGTGAATGTGCCATTGATACTGGGAAGGCCTTTCCTCGCCACCGCCAAGGCCCTCATAGATGTGCATGATGGGACCTTAGTTTTGAGGGATGGTGAGGAGCGAATAGCGTTTTCAATTTCTGATTCTCGTCCTGCTTCGTCACCTTTGCATGCTGTATCTCACAAGGAGCACGAGTCTGTCGGTTATCCTCCTGTGTTGCCTATTTTGCGAGATCTGCCTCCCATACCTTCGCCGCACTCCCGTCCACTCCATCATCGAAGGAACAAATCAGGGAGGAGTGGCGGCCGAAACAGCAGGCAGTAAAGGCTGCTCGAAAGAAGGCCGGAGACCACTATGAGCTGGTCCCGCCCCCACCTTGGCCATCCGAGTATTCACTCGCTTGCATCCTGCCAGATGGCCAAGTTGAGCTGGCAAATGCTGGTGGCCACATTCGGCGTGTGCATGGCCACCATTTGAAGTTGTACCTCAAGAGCGAGGTGGATCCTCTCTTGAAGGCACATGCTCCTTCACCTCACTGAGCATCCACCGACTGGCGTCCAGCTAAAAGACGGTAAAGAAGCGCTTGTGGGGAGGCAACCCCACCTAGGTTTGCATTTTCTTACCTTTTTCTTTTTGATTTTTTGTGTTTTTTTGAGTCTTGAGATGTTGTTCCAGAGTCGAAGGTCGTTTTGGAGTGAAAACAGGTTGATTTTGGGGCTCCAGCAGTTCACACGGCCAAGCCTTAAACTCACACGGCCGTGTGAAGGAGTGACCAGGCCGTGTGAGCTCTCGACATTTTTCACACGGCCAAAAGTGCAGCTGGCACGGCCGTGTGGATTGGCCTGGCCTGGCCGTGCGGCCGACACGGGCAAAACATTTTGTGGCACGGCCGTGTGGAGGAGTGCCCTGGCCGTGTCTGCTCTCGCAGAATATGGCACGGCCAAATGAGCACTCGGCACGGCCGAGTGAAATTCTTCGGCCAGGTCGTGTCGGCCGACACGGGCAAAAGTGCACGCGACACGGCCGTGCGTGTCTGGCCGTGTGGCCGAGACACGGCCTATTTATTCGTTCAGCACGGCCGGGTCGTCAGAAAATTTCAAAACACTCGCCGGAAACCTCTCCCCCTCGCCGGAAAACCGCGCCAAAACCCCTCTTTTTGATTTTGTCGGCCATTTTTTGTCATCTTTTCACCAAACCAACAACAAACCCACTCTTTCTCCACCAAAATCGGCCTATCCCTAGATTTTGAGGAGATTTGGCCGACGTTTTTGTCGCCGGAGGCGATTTCCGGCCAGACTCCGACGAGCACTTCCGGGCACTTTTTCGGCTTTTCGTCGCTTCCATCGCCTTCCCCTCATCATCCCCTACACCTCTACTTGAGTCTCCAGGATCATGTCGAAGCCCAACCTCCGGCATCAGTATGTTCAGGATTTGAGAAGGGGGGCCCATCGGGATCGTTTTCAGAACGTCCTGGCCTGCAAGTTTGGGCAGCACCATTACTGGTCGAAGCGTGAGTTGGAAAAGCTCAACTGCTACGAGCACCTCTCCCCCGTTGTCACCAACAAATACTGGCGCCGCCTACTCAGCATCCGCGCGACGGTTTACTATGAGCTCGTGCTTGAGTTCTACACCACCTTCAAGCACGCAGCCACGGATGATTGGAAGGACGATGCTGCAGTCCAGTTCCGACTCGGGGGTGAACCACGCTCTATGAGTTACGACGAGCTGGCGGACGCCCTGGGCCTCAACTTGGTAAATGACAGGAACTTCATCACAGAGGTCGCCGAGCCAGTAGGGGTGGACTTCGGGAGGCTGTACTACAGCCTCGCTCGGCCACGTCAGCTTCCCTTCAAGGCGGGGAAGACGAAGGCCACCACATTGCAGCTCGAGAACCATCTCCTCCATCACATGCTGGCCAAGTCTTACACCCCACCCTCCGACAGTGCCAGCGCCATCACCAAGCAATCCCTGTACTTCATCCAGTCCATGCGCCAGCGGGATCATCCCCTACACTTGGGCTCGGTGGTGGCGAGGACCTTCGAGAAGAGTGCTTCTGAGCTGAAGAGACTCCACTGCACTCCTCTCATCACCTGCCTGGCAGAGTATTTCCAGATATCCCTGCAGGGGTGCACGGAGCAGGGAGCGGCCACTCCCTTTGGCCGGGCTACGCTCACCAAGATGCTCCTGCTTCGAGAAGATCGAGGAGTCATGTGGATCGAGGGGTTTCCTCAACCCCAGATTCCAGAGGCGGTCCAGCAGTAGGCTCCCGCGGGTGCAGCTGATGAGGAGGTCCAGCCTGAGGGCGTGGATGACACTGCTGCTGCCCGCCCCACCACCTTCGAGTTTGGGGGTGGTAGTTCCAGTTTCCCGGGGCAGGATTACTTCACCTCCCAGTTCCAGCAGCTGCGTCTCCAGAACCAGCAGATCATCGACCATCAGATGCAGTTCCAGCAGCAGTACGCGGCTCACCAGGCCGCGTACCACCAGAGGATGGCGGGTTACGATGAGAGATTGGACCAGCTCCAGACCCAGCAGGGAGTGACTCTCGCCCACATCGAGCGAGAGAGGCGCCGTTCTCGGCGCATGCAGGAGGTCCAGCAGCATCTGCTCCAGCTGCTACCGGGCGAGCAGCCAGTCTGGAGGACTCCCTGGGAGGACTCTCCACTTCCACCTCCCCCAGCGGATGGTGATGATGGTGCCGATGGTGGTGACGCCTTCATGAACGACATCAACTTCGATCTGGACGACCTCGGCGACGAGTAGGCTGTACTCGTTGCCCATCTCAGTGTTTTGAGTGATGAATTGAATGGTTTTCGATTGATGCATGACAGCTTGAGTGTGACTAGGACAACCGATGATGAGGACTAAGACGTGCAGTAGAGTTGTGTAGGGGTTCAGTTTTTCAACTGTTTGCTTACCAAATGTGACTTGGATTGATTACTTGTTCTTGACAGTCCCTTATGCATCTAGTTCAGGGTATCAGAATGTGAGATAGAGCATATAGGTAGCCATGTGAGATTTGAGCCTGCTCGTTTCTTTCTTGTGCGATAGATCCCTCTTCCATGATGTGTAGCATTCACGTTGTCACTAGCTAGGATGATGGGGGCATAGGATTAGCTCACGACCAAATTTGACTGTCCTGATGTGTCATACCCTCTAGTCAGCCCCTTTGAGCCGTGTGTTATCCTTTCTTTTTAGTCTATAATGAAAAAATCACCCTTTTGCATCTTTTAGTAGGTTCCACAGAGTGGTTTTTACAGATTCTCTGCTGTTTCTGCTAAATTGAATGTGAGTGTTGGAGGTAGTGCTTAAAAGTTGGGCAGATGTTTGAAATATGTGCAGAAGTGGTGGCTCTCTTAAGAAATGAAAAGAAAATGAAAGAAAAACAAAGAAAAATTGAAAGCAAAGAGAGCCACTACCAAAAATCTGAATAATGCCCAGTAAGTAGTGTTTCTTAGCAGTCTGGCTTGGAAATACTGACATTTATACCTCCTTCGCTCTTGTGCTCAGTAATGCAGAATAGCAGAAAGGAAATACCGGTTTGTTTGACTGTGATTGTTTGGGTTTGGAAATGTGGAACCTTGTGCTATGAATACTTCCACCACTTAAAAGGCCTTTTCCCCATGTCCAAGACCCTAGCCAGTCATTTGAACCTGTGTCTAAGACCTCCTGATTAGTTAGTGGTGACACCTCATATGTGAACTCTAGCATTTAGAGGCTGCCATCATGGTGAAGAGATGTTAGGGATTGAGAGAAATAGCACGCATTTTTCGCATCAAATTGTCCTGACCCCACTGGTCGAGAGTGAGTGATTCATTTTCATATTCTATATACTCTTGTACCTCGGTGAGGACCTAGATTGCTCGGTCTCTATTATGATGTCTTGAGTTGGATGCATGAGTTGACTGTTTTGAGTAAGTGGTTGAGTCAAGTCTAGGTTGGTTGGTGAACAGAAGGGAGACTCTTCCTTTACTCGATTTTGCTGCACTCGAATGTCCTTTGTGGTGGTTGTCCAGGTTGCTAATGAAGTTGGTCATGTATTGATGTTTGAAAACCAGTACGATTCACGTGTTCTGTGCCTTTATGACTTGTCCCCAATGTTGATTGATTGAGATATGTAAGCTTACCTTGTGTCTGACTTAGTTTGCTTGGGGACAAGCAAACGGTTAAGTGTGGGGGAGTTTGATAGACCGTTAATTACACATGTTTTTACCCCTGTTCTTACACCGTTTGAGATGTGATTTCTCGCGTTTTAGGCCGATTTCACGCTAGGTTGTGCTTGTTTGTGATATTTCAGGTCCTAGTACGTGAATGGAGACTCGGGAGCGAGTTTGGGGTCGATTGGACGAAGATCGGGCGCGAGGCAAGTCACAAAGGAGGCCACACGGGCACACCCACAAATCACACGGCCGTGCAACTCATATTTCTGGCCGTGCGAGTTTTGCCGAGAGCAAACACGGCCTGCCCTGACAATGCACACGGCTGTGTGACGAAGTGATCTGGCCGTGTGACTTTTGCCGTGAGCAGACACGGGCAGATGGAAATCAAACACGGCCGTGCCAACCTGGCCGTGTGAGAAGCCTGAAAATCGAACTAAGTGGAACGCAGCGTTTTAACTCACACGGGCAACTGGGTATGCCACACGGCCGTGTGGCCCTGCCCATGTGAGTCGGGATTTCCTGGTTTTAACCCAATTCCGGGCTGCAAGAGAGAGGATCGGACTTTTTGAGCAAAAACAGAGCCCTAGAGAGAGAAAGTGCGAAGAACTCACCCTAGAAGCCATCTTGGAGCTGGGTTTCATCAAATCAAGCTTGGAGATTGTCCTAGGAGTGGAAATCATCATCCCGGAGCAGATTTTCCTCATCTTTATGAGTATGACTACTCCGATTACTGTTTTCCTCTCTCTCTCTATGGAGTAGAACCTCTCTCTCACTTGGGGATGAAGAAACCTAGTTCTATGTGTTAGGGGATTGATTGTAATGACTTGGGATGATATTACTGTTTGATTTTAATCGAATGATGCATGTTTATTGAGTTAATTGAAGTCTGATCAACTTTTCTTGATTCCTGCTGCAATCTGAGATAGATAGAATCTGATTAGGTTGCTAGAGTCTCATCATTCGATAGTAGGAGATTGGCTATACGAGAGTTAGCCAGTTTACTGCTTTGTACTGGAATCTAATTCCAGTAGTGAATTTCTGTTCTTACTGCTTCAGCTTTCAATCCCGGTGAAGACTAGTCGTCTGCCGGATAGTTAGACTGAGAGGGCTTGGTCAGCTTAAGAGATTTCAAGCTACTGCCGGATCTTCCGCAGTCTAATCAACAGTAAATCAACCCAGGGTAAATTGCAATTGAACCTAACTAAGGAGCTAGGGGGATTCATTCCCGAGTGACTCTTTCCTGCTTGAGAAAACCGAATAAATTCCTGCTTTATTTCTGCTTTTAGTTTAAACAACAATCACTTACTTTAGTTGGCTAGATAACAGAGAATCACTGAGTAAGCAGTAGATCTAGACCCCGGGTTGATAATATAACTTGCCTGTTACTGCATTCCCGGTCTGCGATTACACTTGGTCGCAGATTGGTGTTGTGTTTTGGCGTATTAGAGGACCTTATCCGCTCCGCAATTATTAGGGGCATTATCTGAAATGTAATCAATTTCACTTTTCCCAAACGCAAGTCGGTAGCGGCGTTGCTGGAGAGCATTGCCAGAACTATCCATCGGAACGTTTTTTTTATGAAGTTGAAAAATTAAATTAAGCAGGAAAAGCCAAAAAGGTTCAAGGTTCAGCAGGACTGAACCTGAGAATACAAGACACTTACCGAGAAAGGTTCCAAGCTGTAAGATTACAGTACAAAAGCATATCAATGGAACAAAAACGCCTAGCAAGAATCAAGAAACAAAACAAGGTGGGAAAACAAAGGACGCAAAGGTCGGCCGAACGACA